CAGGATATTTTTCGAATGGGATAACCGTTGAAAGAAACGAGTTTTTATGAAGGGAACTTTAGTAGGGAAGTCCATCTTAATGGAAACAAGCCAAGTTTTTCTTCTTCCCTATCTACACTTTTCATTTTGCAATGAGTAATCTACGCAAATATATTAATATATATATATATATATATATATATGAGAGTGCAAGCGCGTTGATATGTAATATTCAAGTATACTTTAATCATTAAGTAAACAATAGGTGACTAATGAAATATTAATAAAACAAGTTTTAAACGCGTTATACAATACAATACAATATGCTACCACAACCCAACCTACCATCCAAAGCAATAAGAATATTATGACTAAATTCCGCCTAGAAATATGAACGATACTCATCTCAAAAGAATGTAAATAGACTTTGTAAAGATAATAAATAATTAAAAAAAAAGGAAACGACAACTAACGTAAGAAAGGGCCATATTTTTAAGAGAAACACTCTTTACTGTTTTACTAACTATTAAGACACAGTTTGTGTATTTGCGCAGACATCAATTGTTGTGGACCTTTTTACCAGAATTACGTATACGGGTATAGCGGGTAAGCGAAGAAACATTACAAACATTACAACATTGAAAAGAGGAAAGGAAAAAGCAAAAAAAAAAATAAATAACCATAAGGCACAAAGATTTACAGATAGATACCTTCGTAACGACTAACATAAGATCTTTGACCTGAAGCTCGAAGAAGAAAAGATGAGATGTATAGATGAGCGCATAGCTTTAGAACAATGAGTTCATTATGCATGAAATAAATTAAAATCACATTTATTTTTAAAATTCATAATAATCAAGTTCAAGATAATAATCACAAAACCGATGACGATTTTATTCGATGATGTATTACTCATGCATTTACATTTATGTTTGTGAAATATAAAAATTATTGAGCCCAACAATATATAATATAATGCAATGTTAATGTCGGAATGAATGAATTTATGGCGAGCTCAATATTTTTTCGTCTGTCTAGTAGTAAAATAGAAAATAGTTTATTACTATATTGGCATCAAATGCGATCAGTTACTGTTGTCGCTGTTTACACGCGGAGACGATTTTCTTCAATTTCCTTTCTTTTTTTTTGTATGCTTCTACACTAAAATGTTGTAGAATACATTTAAGCCTTGTTTTTTTTTTTTTTGTCATCATTGTTTATGTCTGTAACGTTGTAAAGAATAGCAGATACTTAAGTTTAACTGTAAAATCCAGTTCGACAGCGAGCCATCATTAACAATTTATACATTGTCACTATAACAGGTATTTTTAAATTTCTTTTTCATTTTCTTTTTCTTTTTTTCTTATTCTTTTATTTCAACTAAAATTTAAAAAAAAAAAAAAAAAAGAAAAAAAAGAAAAACAAATCATTTGACCAAAAAACATTAACTTGTTCTTTAAATTAATCTGTGCATGCCGTGAAATCAGCCTGAGTTTTGTATATTTATTTATTCTCTTGTGTCTCATGCTGCAAATTGCTTAATATTTCTTGTGATTATTTAAAAATGTTGGTAAAAAAACAAGAAGAAAAAAACCGTTTTAATGATTGTGGTAAAGTGATTTAATCAACAAGTTGGCAGGCGAGGAGGAGAACATATCGAATGAAAGAAAAGCTTATTCTCTAATGGCATTAAATAAATTGAAGAAAAATTTCAAATAATACAGTTAACGTAATATTTCACTGTCTCACTATAATGAAAAAGGTATTCTGCAGATCACATTGCCCGTAAACCAATGAGCAAATAATAATTGATTAGCTCCAAGATACTTTGTTGATGTTTGCAAGTTATTCAAGTTGTTTAGTTGTTAATTAGATTTCAGAATGGGAATCTGAATTTCAATTCTATGATAAACTAAGAAAGAACAAGCGAGAGAAAATGATTTCCATACAATTTGCTAGAAACTTAAAAACATTGACAGACGGAAATACTATATAGTATTGTATGTTCAGTGTGACGCAAAATGACGTAAATGGTATAGCATTTCAATTTTTAAGCTAATTATTTTTTTTTGCATTTAACTTTTTACTACTTTAACTGGTGAATAGCAAGTATCATCGCGGACATTATAGCGTTCATTGTATGCACAAAAATATTACAAAACATTTCTAATCACAACTAATTTTAAAATAAATTGACTTTCAATTTTTGAATGTCACCGAAATATTCATTGTCCGTAAATGCGTTAAAACGATAATAACAGAAAACGAGACCAAAGAAATTAATAAAATGAACACAAAATTCATAGCCCGGCGGACAGACGGACGAGCAAGTTTAACAGATTCAGAAGAAGATTTTAAACAGATCGCCATTATATAAATCGGGTAAAAGAGTATAGGCTAAAAAAATTATGTAGGTACATCTTAGACACACACACACACACACACACAGACACAGGCACACACGTATACACTTATTCTATTTTTCTCATTAAATCTTCACCTCATTAAATTTCGCACAAAACTCGTGGCCCTGCGGACAGACGGATGGACATATTTAATAGTTTCAGAAAAATATTCGAAATAGATGGGTATAATAAAAATCGGGAAGAAGAGTATAGGCTAACAAATTTATGTAGACATATTTTACACCCACGCACACACATATATATATACATATATGTATGCACTCATAAGTATTTTTATTTAATTTCACTAAGAAATTGGAAAATCTTATTGAGCTTAGCACGGGTGGACGAAAAAAGAAATGTATAGAGAATGCTTAGGAAAAAGAAGAACGTAATTATGCTGTAAATAAATCGAAACTTACACTATATCTCCATCTAAGATTTATTACAAAAATGCACGAGAATTATTTAGAAAGTCCGACTCCACTCGCCCGGCTGCATATTACAAACAAACCAGTCACGATTTTAAGATAATTCTTTTAAGAAAGTAACCTTCTAAGATTCATGCCCATACAAGGAGAATATAAGTGCATCCATCCTAAAAAGCAGCTTTATCAATTAAGGGAATCATAAACAGTATGTGAAGGTATCACGATCCAAGAGAACACAATCTTCAGAGAGTGAACAAAGGAAACAACATATTAATTTCATTTCCTTAAGAAGCAAGAATGGAAAACCTATTGTTGTTGCCCTTAATAGTTGAGAGATTTCAATTAACTCATTAATCGAACTTCAATTCAGGTAATTAAAGAGAAATATTAAATTTGGTTCTCTGTAAACCGTGTAATCACGAAAGAGGTCGATATATATATATATAAATCTACTAAATAAGTGCTTACTTTTTTTTTTTTGTTTCCAACTATACACAGTAATTTGCTTACTAAACACCCTTCGTATATTTGTATATTTCTTATAAGCAAAGGCGTTGCACCTCTTTCTTAGTATTCTTTTGCGCTTTATGTCTGTCTATATGTAATTGAACAGGTTTATGACTATATGCAATTTCCTTGCCTTAGCCTACGACTAGCGTATGCGGTAAACAAATGCTTTATGAGTAGATAGATAGTAGATACATGCACTTGAAACATCTTAACCATGAAACAAGTACATGAACCATTATGACGAAAACGATATAAATGAATAAACAAACAAACAAACAAACAAACACTTACCATTAGCACAAAAATGTGATGATTTACTAATGATAACTCGTTGTTGCATTAAAAATTTATTTAATAAATAATTTTTTTCTTTGTTTTTTTGTGTAATTAATATTAATACTTTTTAATTTTTTTTTTTTATTTAGGGATTTTAATAATGTACTGCAATAAATTCACTTTGTGTACGTATTTACGGTTGATATGATAGAATAAGAATAGAAAAGAATAAAATTACTTTGTTAAGTACACATACACATACACATAAACATACACAAATATATATCGGCACATAGGGTATTTTATATTAAAAGCACTCATACACAAATACATAGATAGAGACTCGCACAAATACTTATATACATGCAGAATAAAAATTATTATATTTTATGCATTCCTAGTGCTAAGCATGCGCTCTCAGCTAAGTATCAAGAATAACGTTAACGACAACAATATAAGACAGACTATGGTATAGATACCGATTCGCAAGAAAGAAAAGCATTGTGCAGAAGTTTTAGATATATATATATCTATACATATATATATATATATATATATGCTATACTAGCGATTCTTTTGATTTTAGCCACATTTTCCACGAAAATATTTTATAGAATTTTTTTTTTCATTTCCTTATTTCTTTACAAAATGAATTCCTTTTCTCGTTTTTCATTTATTTACTTCTTTTCTTTAACTAATAATATATCGTTTAATAATTGATTATTTTAGAAATTTTATATAGTTTTTTTTTTTTTTTTAATATTTTTGAAATTTAATTAAACTAATTATCTATTTTTTATTGAATTGAAGAAAAAAAAAAAAGGAAAAAAAATTTCAATTTAACGCGCTCTGCGCACTTAGATAAGCAACTAACGTGCGCAAACACTCTTTGTATACTGGGTTAAGCATCAGACGCCATCTTAACCATAACCGTAGCATAATACTGAGTGACATTAGTTTTCAAAAGTTTTATTGGAAAATTGCGCTAAAAAAAACTCAGCTTGATTATCGGAGGTTTAAACCAGGTATAGAGCGGGAGAGAGAGAGAGAGAGAGAGTGAGTAAGTGAGTGTGTCTAATAAAAAAAGGGAACATGAGAATTATACACAAATTTTACTTTACTCATTATTACGGTATTAATTAAATGAAAAAATGAAAAAATTATTATAAAACAAAATTAATTTTTTTATTTTATATTTATTAATTATAACTTAAGAAATGAGAAACAAGAGAAAAGAATTCTGTCATTTTTTGTACTTGCAGTCTGCAGCTCGTATCATGAACTCTTTTTTTTTACTCTTTGTTACCAATTGGAAATGTTTGCTTTATCTCTACGCTAGCCTCCTATAGATTTAACACTCGAGTTCATATAATCACATAATTCCAGTCTTGAGCTCAGTTTACATTTAGCATTGTTTGAGTATAGACGTGCTGTTGTTACCGTTACACGAGACGTTTCTATTTATCTTCTTTTTTTTTATATATATATATGTAAACAATTCTCTCATATTTGCTCTATGGTTCTTAAGTGAAACAAAAAAAAAAAAAAAAGAAAAGAAAAATGCAACAGCGCTAAAGAAAAAGAAAATTATTTTGCTTGTCTATGTATTGAAAACAAAAGCCATAAACAGTGAATTAACTGAAAACTAAGAAAGTATCTCGCAATCCAAAACTCTGTCGATAGATATATATAGATATATATAAATATATATAAATATATATATTTGGTCATGAAAATGATTGGCAGTGATTATGTGTTAGAAGCTCACAACATCTATCATACCCGAGAGGTAATATATGTGTATATATATATATATATGTGTAACTATATAACACTACGAAACAAGTTAAAGCAATTAAATGCTTGAACGGAGGCGAAAATATCAACAAGCTTGTAACTAAAGAGTTTTATTAAGGATAAAATTAACAAATAGTTTAACTAAAGACTTGTGTGCTAATTATAAGAGAAGATAGCTTAACTTACTGTCAGAATAAACTAAAGTTTTATTGCACTCTTTTATGACTTCTTTCTTAAAATCACTAGTTAGTCTAAAAAGTATTAAGCTAATAGTGTTAACATTAGGAAATTTTATGATTAGACCTCCTCTTAAATAGTCAATAATTTTCGGTTGCAAAATTTCCTTCGGAAAGTTAAAAGAGAAAATTTTATACTGAAAAAATACCTTAACTGATTTTCGTTTGCACCAATTTTTCACTAACTTGACAGAGCGACTTATAACAAACGGCACGGGTAGCGTGCTTAGAGCTCGTCTCAGATGAAACGGACTATAACTGAGCCTTTAATATGTAACGAATAACCATGAAAGGGCGTTACGCATTTAGGCGAATAATTACTTCTTGAGCATCGCTCTTCTTAGATTTGGTCCACACTGACTTTGCATATTTGAAAATGTTATTTCACAAGAAGTTTTCTAAACAAGATATGAAATCATACGTATCTGATACATGTGTATATAAATATTACTTAGAAATTGTATTACATCAACGTTAGGCAAATGTTAAAAGACATTTGTGAACAGCTTTTAGGGCTTTTAGGGAAAGAAATTATTCTTAAAAGGTTATAAGTCCCCACGCAAGGACTCAACCTTCTCAGGGCCAAGTCAAAGATAATCTTCTCTTTGCACACTCAATTGACTTGATAGCTAAACACCCTAAGCATCGGTTACAGAAACCGTCACATTTAAAACAATAGGTAAAGTACAAATTTCTAAGTCTGAATAATTTCCCTAAAGGTCTTTGAAAATCTCTAATAATTTTCGATAGGTCTTGGACTTTAATAAGCTTTGTATCAAAGCGAAAAACTGCACTTTCTTACTGCAAGCGGGAATTCCTTAATTCTTCTTAGACAAGAGATGCGAAAAAAGCGGTTTTTTCGTACTTTTAGTTGACCTAGTTTCTTAAAGGTATCATTTGAATAGTTTACTACCTTCGTGATGAGATTAATTATTGAACGTTTAAGAAACAACTGTTGCTTATACTGTTATGTGTAAGTCTTCGAAGGTAATATTTTTCGTCCCGTCGCAGGTTGATAGCGGCGGTTGTTTTAATGGCGCTGGCAGCTCAGCTTTAGGGCTTAAAGGTGTCAACTTGACAGTGCACAGTGGTGAAGTGATGGCCATATTGGGATCTAAAGGTGAGAAGCAATTGCTTGGAATTCTCTCTCTTGGAATTCTGGATAACTTTTCTTTTTGTTTTTTTTTTTTTTTTGGTTAAATTTCTTTTATTTAAATTCACTTAATGTTAAGGCAGCGGCAAACGCGCCTTACTCGATGTTATCTCACGACGCGCTGATGGCTCTACTCGAGGCCAAGTTCTATTAAATGGATCGCCGTTAACTAAAGCATTATTTCAACAACGCTGCGGCTATGTTACGCAATCCTGTTCATTTATACCAGGTTTAACAGTTGCTCAAACCTTACATTATACTCCCACTATTGTAAGTAATGAAGCTGGGTAAGCAATCATATATTACTGGGGCAATTATTTTTCATTTTTTTTGCATTGCACTCTTCATACAGCTTTCTGGTTATTTGAAAAGCTCAAAAGTTCGACAAGTATTAGCTGATTTAGCGCTTTCGCAAGTGGCTCATAAACGTGTGGAATATTTGAATATAAGCGAAGCCAGACGTCTGGCCATTGGTGTGCAATTAGTTAGAGATCCAGGTAAAAAAAAAAAAAAAAAATTTCAAGCAAAGAAATTCTTTCGTCCACTTTTTCTCTTATACTTTATTGTCTTAATTTTTTTCTTTCTCACTTGGCAATTCCTTTGAAATACTTACTGCCTGCTGTCTCCTTTCAAAAGGAGAAAATTCATATACTCATTTAAATTTTTACATATATACACCGCGACTTTAATCTAACTATAATTTACAAATGTTCTCAGTACCTTTTACTTTTATTCAAGTCATTTGTTTCTCTCTCTCTCTCTTTCTCTCTCTCTCTCTCTCACTCTCTCTTTCTCTCTCTCTCTCGCTCTTTCTTTCTTTCTTTCTCTCTCTCTCTCTCTCACTCTCTCTTTCTCTTTCCCTCTTTCCATGCGTCATGCTCTTCTTATTGGTGGTAATCAAGTTTCTTGTTCAAGTCTTTTCTTTGCGCCTTCTTCTTCTTGTTTTTCTTACTCAAGTTTTCTGCTTAAGTCTTTTTCGCTCGGTTTCCTATTCTTATTACTTCTGATCAAGTTTTTTGCTTAAGTTCTTTGCTTAAGAATTTTTTCTTCCGTTTTTCGCTTCCTCTCGTTTTTGTTCGAGGTTTTTTATTTTTTTTAACTTTATTCTCTCACGAGACAACACGACTAATTGTGGTAATATGAACTTTTTTTTGTTTTTGTTTTTTTTTTGAAACTTTTGATTCTTGATAGTAATGCTACTTTTGGATGAACCTACCCAAGGTTTGGATCCTTTAAGTGCTTATCTACTCATTTCGATACTTTCCAATACGGCAAAGAAAACCGGTTGCGGTATATTGTTGTCACTCGAGAAACCGCGTTCAGATGTGTTTCCTTTTTTGGATCGCGCTTTATTCCTTTGCCTGGGCGGTGTAGTGTATTCAGGCGGTACGCGAGCGATGTTGGAATATTTTCATGGAATTGGTTTTCCTTGTCCGCAACTAGAGAATCCCTTAATGTACTATTTATGCCTCTCAACGGTAGACAGAAGAAGTCGGGATCGTTTTCTGGAATCTAGCCAACAAATCGAGGCTTTAGTGGAGAGATTCTCAAGAGAAACACCCGTTTCAGATGGCCCCTTAAATAATATGGGCAGTGGAAAAGTTCCCTTGGCCTATGGTAAACCAGGCGAATTGAAAGTTTGGGTGATGTTGTATTTGTAAGAGAAGTTTTTATTAATTTTTTTTTTTGAAATTTGCACATATTTTGGATAAATATTTTTGCTTTACTTAGAAAATTATTAGCATCAACTTTTTCTTGCGGTTTAACTGGCTTAAAGTCCTTGTTCATGCGTTTGATTTTGTTACCGTTAGCTATGAGTTTAATGTGGCTTTTCTACAATAACGTTGGGGTAAACTGAATTATTAAATAAATTATTTTCTCATATTATTTTATAAGAAATTGTTATACAATTTAAGGACGATGCTCATGGTTTCTTTAGTAAAAACGGCTTGATTTTGAATATCATTGGTTTATCTTATGGTTGCGGCATTTTGGTGACGATAACCTTATGTGAGTTTGTACTTGTTTTGTACTTTCGGTAAAAAAAAAAAAAATTTTTTTTTTAAATGACTTTCCTTCCACTTAGTTCCTATTTGGCGTAAACGTTTCGCCCAAGATATACCGGAAGGTTTGTATTCTGGTGCCACTCTTCTGATTGCTTACAATTCTGTTTCTATACCATTTTCCATAATATCCTCTGTTGTAGCTAGTTGCGTTATATATCCGTAAGTATATGATTTTAATAATTCGGTCAAAAAAGTGTTAACAATTTATTGTTTAAGAATACTTCTTGATCCGAAATTTCCCAATGGCATCGTATTTGCTTATCTTTTGGTGGCCTTATGGTCGAGTTTTGTATTAGCTGAACAGTTATGTATCGCATTTCTGTTAGTGGTTAAAGTACCTTTTAATGTCGCCATCACTGTTACTTATATTTTAGTTATTTCTATGGCTTTGGCTAGCGGTACAGTACGGTGAGTACGTAAAACTTGTTATAAATAACTTACTGACGTTATGCAAAAATGTTTGTTTTTTTTTTCTTAATTTTCTTTTTTTTTGTTTTTTTTTTTTTTGAAAAGATCTTTCAAAGGATTACAGCCGTGGCTGCAGGATAATACTAAAGGTACTCACACTCGTTACGCCTCATCTCTGTTGCATAGCATTGCTTTTCAGACACGGAAAATGAATTGTACGCCCACAGCGTCGGTTATATGTCCAAAGCCTGCAGATTTCTTGCATGAACGTCTAGGATTAGCTGATCCAGATGTAAGAAAATGCAATGATCAAAATATTAAGAAGAAGAAGATTTCATTTAAGTTTTTTGAAAAATATTTTTCCCCACTTAGGAGACAATCGATATTGCGGCGTCTTGTGCTTTTGCGATAGGCTTGGCTGCCTTTAATATGTTGCTATATTTGTTCCCTATGCCCAGATGTGTTAAACAAAAGCTTAAAGACTGAATGTGAAACTCATTTAATATTTTATTCTTTTATTACAATAACTTTTTTAAGTCCCTACAAAATCTTTTGCAAAATTGTGTTTAATTTTTAAAGGGACTCTGTTAGGCTTTTTGTGTAATTAGACGCGACATTTTAAAATAATGTTATGTCACTCTTAACATGAAGCGTTGCGCTGTTCAGAATGTCTTGTAAACTATTGTGAATTTGATGTTATAATTCTTACTAAACTAGGATCCAAAGAATAGAACAAAATGGTCCAAATTTGGTAGAGTTCGTTTTTTCATCACGTAGGATCAAAAATGATATACTTTGGTCATATGAGCTTTAGTTTTCATTATATAGGAGGAGGTTCAAAAATTGCCCCATCCGGTCCAAAGTTTGCATACTAATTTAGAATGCCGAAATACTATTACTTAGCCACTTTATTTTTTCCTTATAACGACTTTTCAGAATAGGGCATTATATAGGGAGTGGTCCAAAAGGTTTTCAGTACCGTTCATCTTGAGGTGAAAACACGTCATGATGACAAATTTCATCAAAATATTTCAAAGATTACGACTTGTGTCTTGAACACAAAAATACATGAACAGACATCAGACAGACGGACAGACTTAGATCAATTCGAATTATAATTCTGAATCGATCGGTATAATAAAGGTAGGTCTATCTTAAGCCCTTCTTCCTATCGCAGACGTCCACGCTAACTTGATATACTCTGTACCACAGGTGGTATACGGTATAAAAGGTATTATATATTTATTCCAAAAAGTATGCTTCGATTTTCTTTATTATAAAATCTTTTTTTCAAGTCATTTACAACTCGGTTAATTTAACGGACTGCTGAAAAAATAGAAGAAGAAGAAGAAGATAGATGTAGTCAGACGGAAGAACCGAACTGAGAATGAGTTCATGACTAGAATGTGAAGATAGAATAAGAAGAATCGTAGCAATATTGTACTGAGTAAGAAATTTGTAACATTGAAAAGGAATATTACTAAGTGTGTGTGAAGAGCAGAAATTAAAAATAATTTATAATTATTATGGTAAATTTTAAGGTTTTGCCTATTTTTTGTTTAAAAAAATTACATATGTTAAACACCTATCATCAAGTTAGCGAAAAATAAATGCAAAATTTCTCGTTGCCTAATAGCAGTACTGAGCTATACTGAACTAAACTTCTTTAAATGTCTGACGTTTCAAATAAATCAACCTTTTACTGAAACCTGTCGATTTCATGGGGTGATTTTTTGTAAATCGTCACAGTCACAAAAACACAAATAGAAACGTTAAAAAATGGGCGTGAAATGTTCATATCCGCGACCACAATGCAGAAAAAACTAAGATAACCTCGGAAAAAAATGATAATTTTTTTTAACCTCCAACTATACCTTTCGATCGCGTGAATTTTTTGCCCTTATAAAAAGAATTTCATCATATAGGCAAGGTATAGAGATGTAGACGTGGAACACAATTTTTATCCCACGCCATCAATCGTTTGTAAGTTCTGCGATAATCACTACTAATAGGCCGCTGATTTAGCGATAAACTAAGTAAAGCAGAAGTTTCATTAAAGACTTTCTTCAGACGAAAAAAATACCAACATTGATAAGAAGAATTTGCCATTTTATTACAAAGACGACTTAATTGAAAGAGTAAATGTAACAAAATTGAAAAATCCTTTGCGAGAGTAGAATTATCCCTTGACTAATTCTCCATCACAAGCGATGCAAACTTCATGTGAGTAATAAAAAAATAAAAACAATCGCAGTTGTTATGCAATTCATTGGATTTTTGATTGATAGATTTATGTTTATGTTCGAATCTTTTTCATTTTTCGCTACACGTAAGTAAATGAAAGATTTATTGCGTTTATTAAAATTATTATTATCATCAATTAAATCGCTTACCTTAAGAGATATGTACATGCGTACCTAATGCTACACACAAGCGGCAGAAAAGTTCAAATCTCCCCTACCATTACGTCATTGCTCAACGTGTAATAAGCAATGGAGAAAATAAATTTCAAAATTTTTATTTACAATAAAATCTTAAATTTAAAAATACATTTTGGAAAAATATTCGATAATACAGCTGAAGCACACATATACGCTAGCATAGGCATATATTTCACAAGTGCATTCAAGTTGTTCATAATACTCAAATAGTAAAAATTTTTTAATTGCGATTTTCATAAATTTAACTTAAGAATATGATGATTATATGAAAATTACAGGTTTTTTTTTTTTTTTTTTAAATTTATTTTTGTCTCTCTTGTTTATTTTTTAAATAAATTGTCTAACGACTATAAAACACAAATTAATTTCACATTAAATAACTAGAAAAAAAAAAAAGAAAAGAAGATTACGCGCAAATATAAAGTAGAATAGTATAGCGTAGAGAATGAAATGAATAAGAAACTGTGAAAATTTTGTATTGCAAGATTATTTATAAATGTGGCACCGGAAACGGAAAACAATGATTGCTTAAGCCATTAAAAATGTATGTGTGTGTGTATCATCATCATCAGTTTAATGATCATGAAGGCTAGTTACTGTTGCATAAAATTATCTTAAGTATCGGATTAAGTCATTTTACTGTTGTTGTTCGTGTTGTTGTTGTTGTTATTGTTATTAGTGTTGTTGTTATCTTTTAGAAACATCTAGACTTTTTGCAGGGAGTTACTATAATTTTTCCCTTCTCTCTCTCTCTCTCTCTCCCCCTCTCTCTCTCTCTCTGCGACATTATTTTGCTCTTTATTTAGCTTTAGAATAGTGTTCAATTTTTTCTTGTTCTAGCAAATTCTGCAATTTCATAATCTTGATATTCTTGCGGTGACTCACTTAAAGTATCCGTATCGTAATAAGCATAATCGTAACTAGTGTCTTCATCAGCGTGTGGCGGACGTTTCGATGTCTTTTTACTGCTTTGTCCTTTCGAAGATTTCGAAGATTTTCCATTAGTAGATTTTTCGCCTTTCTTGTAGAAAGCTGGTGGAGGACGTGGTGTAGTTGTAGTTGTACTGGTACTGCTACTACTACTATACACTATTGTCGAAGGTCGAATACTGGTTGTGCTAGTAAAAATAAAATTGTCCGCTGCATATGCATTAGGCTTGAAAGAAGTTTGTGTACTGGAATAGATAGATGGCTGCGTATAATAATTTAATGTGGTACTTGTGTGCTTAGGAGCCGATGTAGTAGTGGTAGTGTTAGGACTAGCAAAATAAGAATTATGAGGATTATATTGTGAATTATATTGTTGTGACGTTTTCTCAGCTTTAATTATATCGGCACGTAGCTTATTAATACTGGCCGCGCCAAAATTCAATGACTGAGCCGTTTTAAAAAGATCATCTTCATCACTGAAATCCGACAGAGCTTCTTGTTCTTTTAGGAACGATGTATGCTGTTGACTTTTTAAATGTATGGCAGGATTTTGGAAAGTACTGAAAGGTCTCGGGGTTGTACTGGTTACGATACCACCTGTAGTTGATGTAGACCTTTGCAAATTGAAACGATTTCTACTGTAATCTAATTCATATAACTCCGGATGATATTGGCCATCATCTTCATCAGGATTATAATACGGGCTGGCCGTGGTAGGTTCAATATTTGTCTTGATCAAAGTGTTTGTCGATTTGTGAGCGAGATTTTGTGGTTTTATAGCTTGCGGAGCCTGATAGAAATTACGCTCATCAGTTTTCTTAAACGGTTTAAAGGTGGTCGGCGTGTATTTATCTTTGGTCACTAAAGTGGAAAATTTCTTTTGATCACTTGTAGTAGTGCGATAATTTTCATAATAATCGTACTGAGTACTGGCTTTAAAGTTTATCTTGCCACGATTGGCGAATCCTCGAGGTTTGCTATCATTGTTTATCGCCAGTTTCGTTTTATTAGGATCTACTGTCTTGCTTGCCGATTGTCTTTGAGGAGCACTAAACGGTGCCGGCGGCTGTTGATTATTGCCTCTAACGCTTTGACTTCTTATACGTTGATATTGGGGTTCGGCTTTAATCGAATCATCCAAAGGCTTTATTGGTTTTTGAGATTTGAATGGTTGCGGTTGTTGCGGCTTAGCTCTGGAAAATTCTTTGAAATTATTGAAATCTTCAGATTTTTGCAAAGCTTCTTCGAATTTCTGCACTTTCCTAGAATTGCCACCAATGGGTTTATTTTGGTAATTGCCTTTGTTTTGGTAACTGTCTAAAGCAACAGCCTTGTCACGCTTCAGCTCATTATATTTTATAGTTGTGCTCTTCAAACGATTCGGATTATAAGTGGTGGGCTGAATTTTAGCTTGTGTTTCATAATCGTTGGAACCGAAATTGATTTTATTCAAACTATTTTGGAATGGCTTAAACGTTGTTGTCGATATCGTCGCACTCGATGGCGTATTCGAATAAGCTTGAATTGTAACCCTTTTAGTTGGTTTGGGGCTTGTCGGAGTGGTAATCAAGTTCAAGTCAATTGAAGACTGCTGAAGTGGTCGTTTAATCTTAATTGTCGATACCCGACTTTTACCTATAGTAGTAGATTCAGATTTCTTATTGAAGTCACTAAAATCGTTTGGTTTCAACTTTTTAGAATGCTCTAAGTAATCCTCCTCATGCCCACCATTACGATTGACGAAAAAATTGGAGCTATGCGAACCTTTCAAGAAATCATCGAAATCCTCTGTAATTCGAAAAAACGAAAGGTTTAAAAAAAAAAATAAATACGAAAAATGAATACAAAAAACTTACGTTTTGATTCATCGTAATGTTGTTCTGTAGTTGTGCTGGTAGGCGTGTAATAACTTACTATAGGTTTCTTAGTGGTTTCGGATTTTCGTTTTGCCCCCTCCTTGTAATTTGTATTTGCAATGTGATTAACTGTATTACGCGTGACGCTTTCAAAATGCTTGGTATAGTTGGGAGGTTGATCAGGTCGTGACTTTTGATCTATACGCCTCTCATTGAAACGTCTTATATCGCCTGAATTTATAAATAATATTTGAAAGATATTTCCGATCTATTTAGTAAGAACAAAATTCGTACCACTTTCGGCTCGTTGCAAATGGAAAGTAGATTCATCTTCTTCGGCAGCCGGAGCTCGTTTACTCTCATACCCGGAACCCAAACGATACAAATCAAAATTATCACTACCGTAATATAAAACAGATTGATCACAATCGACATCACCCCAGTTGGCACATATTTGCGCTTCCTGATCGAAAGCGGTACCATTCGGACAAAGAAAACGAAAATCTTGTACCTAAAACGAAAGCGACATAAATCAAACCGATAAGAAAGGATACAAGTCGAAAGGGAACAAATGAAGCCAATCATCCTTTCTAATAGTTGAATCAAGTCTATAACGACGGGGCGGCTATAGGGCGTATAGCTAAGCAATTTATATTATTTAGGATAAGAATTATAAATCGGAAGAAGACTATGGATAAGGGTGGGAAGCCCTGTCTATAGTTCAAATCAATTGTAGTTAATCGCGTTATGTCTTTCTCCTCCTACAGGCCAACAAGAAGAATTCTTAGATAGTGTTGATAATGAGAAAGAAAATCAGGCAATGACAAGGAGGAACAAAGCGAAGCTAGAAAAAAATATATATTCAGCTTAGAGTGAGTTTTCGAATAACCACTGCCTCAAAGAAGAGCTATTTGTTTATTAGGTCTAAAACGTTGTATAATTAGAGATCCGAATATTTTGAGAGCTTGATTTCGAAAAGAAGAAAAAAGATGAAAGGTTTAGTCCAAGTCTTCACTTACGGTCCCTAATTTTATTTATATATCCTAAGGAAAATCTGTAATTGCAAGTTCACGTTTATTCCTTGGTATTCTTCTGAACGATGAATTCAGATTAAATTTCTTTTTCCGTTTACACTTCGTACTCATAAATATATTTCTGTAAAATTCTGAACTAAGTCAGTTAACTTCGTCTATCCGTCCTTCGGTAAGCGCATTTGTCCTTAGATTGTTCATTGTCGCAAAAATTGAAATGCAAGGAGAATTATTCTGTGTCTGACCGCAGTGTTGCTTACGACGCTGTTCGCAATAGGAATTCTATTACAGCTTGAAGTTCTTAGCAGTTATTGATTTTAATTTCAATATGATATATATACTAACGATCGGCGATATATTGAAGATACGTCTAAACTTTAGGAACTTCTAAGGTGCTAAGGTGAAGATCATAGCGTATCATGTCTTTGTTTTGTGTATATAGGAAGAAACTGATAAAAAAGGAAACAATCGCGATGGTCTCAGTTGTGTTCTTATAAAGAGATGAATCATCGGCCTTACAGCGAGAGAGGGACACAGTGCAATTCCTGCCGGATGGTCTTTTCCCTCGCACTCACAGCAGGATTTTAAGAAGAATTAAGAAAGAGAGAGACTAGGAGAGCAAAGAGAAACGATGTCATCCTAAATAGAAAGGCTAACGCGTATGAGTTTAAGGAAACTCGAGAGAAGCTTCAAAGTGCAAGATTTTTTAATCGGCGAAGTAGAAAAAGAGCGATACTCTCCGCCATCAATTTTTTGGTAACATGGACTCTGGCGCTTCTCAGCTGACTCGCACTTTTAAGAGGTAGAAAAATACCACATTACAAGCCTTAGATAACTTGGACCTTTTAATTAAATTTTCTTGAATATTGATTCGCCCATTTTTGCTTTCCAAAGACAGTTACACTCCAGTAACACAGGAATCAACTTGCAAGCCGCACTATCAAGATCAACGTCCTTACATAAAATCGCAATAAATTGATTGCGTTCCTGTTGGGGTTTTCGTAATGTTAACCTAACCTAATAAAGAGAAATTATCCTCCTCCCTGATCAGCACAGGGCCGCTCTGTTTTAACAGATTTTCTTGATTTCATTTTACGATGAACACTGCCAATCAATATCATTTGCTTCACCGTTTGACATAAAAGGAGCTAGCACTTCAATCGAATTGACACGCCTATCATAGAAGAACTTTTTCAAACTAATCTGTCATCGTTTCCTACAAGTTATTACGAAATTAATTAAAAAAAAAAAAAGAAGAACAAGAAAGAGGAAAACAATTTGAAAGAAAACGTGACTTGCTCTAATCAAGTTTGGACTTGTCAAAAACAATTCATGACTTGTCGCAATATTGTGTTAAATGCTAAAAACTTAATTAAATTTTTATTTTTTTTGATTTTCATTCATTAAAGGCAAAAAGTTATAATCAATTAAAAAATCTCTTGCTAAATAATACAATTGCAATAATTTTTAAATTAATTGAGTTAAAATGAACGATAGTTATAAATTATTCAAAGTAAAACAACGACAGGGCAAATAAACCGGAACCATCATTAAAATGTAATCATCGTCACTGAACTGTGATATTTCGTATATGAATCAATGAAAACGGCGGCAATAACGCGAACAACACGACAATAATTGCAATTATAAATAAGCAATAAACCGGGAGTGTGTGAGAGAGAGAGATAGAAAGAGCGAGTGAGCTAAAGATTCTTGTTTTTTTTTTCCTTTTTTTTTTTTGGTTATCACCTACCGTATAGCATTTATTCTTAATTATAAGTTAAATCGCGAAACTAGATAAACAAATGAAACAAGAGAACAACTCAACAAGATAAACAGTCCATTAAACAGCAGCGCAGAGTTTAACGAAAGATTTTTAAATAATAATAATAATAATAATAATAATTTAAGCGGACACAAAACAAACAAATGAAGCAAAAAAAAAAAAAAAAAAAGCCAAGAACACAGCGAAACGTTACAATTTATTTTGTTCTCAATAATAGCTGACAATGCAATGGAAAAAAATCTTAAACCGAATAAACCGAATAAAGAACATTAAACGACAAAATATTGCTGCGATACGATGTACGGAATTTTGCTTATATATATATATGTGTGTGTGGTTAAGAGACTTTATTTACGATATGTTTGAATATAAAGATAATTTCAATACAACGTCAAAATGTCCGTCCTTGTTGCAGGCATTCGTTTTAATTTTTTTACTTTTTTTTTATTTTTATTTTTTTTTATAAAACATTTATGCGGTAAGACGTAGCTTTAAAGGTCAGTTTACAGACGTCTTCGATTGTTTGAATTGAACGAACAAAAGAAAAAAAAAACTTGAAACTCTTGAAAACCGCAGTAACACGCAAATGCTGCGCATGTATTGAAGACGTTTTCATGCATTTGTTACTGCATTACAATCCCAGAGTTTGTGCTGTGAGTGAGTTAAGCCGCGACAACGATTGTCGTTATTGTCTCTATTTCTACTACTCATACTATATATATATATATATATATATACAATTCTATGAAAGTATCTCTGCATAGTTGCACATCTGTATACATCTGTGTATATAATATGGTAACAAACTTTAACATTTAATAGCAGAAGCACAGCTTGATAGGATAGAAAGATAGAAAAAGATTTGAGAAAAAAAAAAAAAAGAAAAAAAACAAAGAAAACTCCGCAAGCTTTTTTACAATATGTACAACGCTGTCGTTTACGAAGCGAATATGTGTGACATTCAAAATCTATTCAACGCAATATGCAAGAAGTGCAAGTAAGTCTAGCATTTATTTATGCCACTGCTTATAATATTTCTTGTTGCTGTCGATACCACTTTATAGTGAATGGCTTGAGAAGCATTTTAATTATTATTAACAATCGGTAAAGCAAAAAAAAAAAAAAAAAAAAATTAATAAATCAGAACATAAACTCAAGTGGCCAGCATCTTACTTACTACCTTCCTAACTGCCTTTAACATTATGACTAAAAGTTAACCTGATTTATATGCATTTTAAAAATGCATTTTATTTCTATTTAACAATCACTTAACAGCATTTTTACAAATGGTTGCTGTGCCATCCCTTTCCCTTATATATGTATGTGAGACGCTTAAAACCAATAACCTGATTACTGTATGCTAATGTTGCACAACCTGGTGTATCGGCGCAAGTAAATGCGTTTTATTTGTCTGCGCGCTTTCAAAATAATCGAAAGCTAAATAAATGCAAAGTTCAAGTTTTTTTTTTTTTTTTTTTTTTTTAACAACTACATTCAAACATTTGCTCAATACGTGATGAATAGGAATCACTTTCAATAGGCAATCACTTCAAATGAGGCAACAAACATATAGGATAGGATTTATAGATAGATATGATTATGAAAGAAGAAGGTAATGAGAAGTATTTCAAAAAAAAAAAAAAAAAAACAACTAATTAAATATATTGATGGGTATTAAGCGATTCGACCTAAACTGAATTTAAATGCAATAAAAATGTTTTAACTTTTTTATTTTTTTTTTATTTTATGCGCACTTATGTTAATTTGTACATACATAGCTTACCCCAACTCCAGCAACTTTAACGCATACATGAAACATTTGACATTGAGCCTCCGGATCTGCATAATAACCTCCAAGTATTTTGTCGTGACATGTGAATTGTGTTTTTGGCATATTATGCAGACTGTATTGTGGCCATGGTTTACGTAAGAATGACTCTTGTTGTCCTAATGTTATTGCGGCTATCGTTAAAACGATGATCGCTACCGAAAGAGACAAGACACAAAAGGCAAAATGAGAAAATATCAAATATAAATAAATGCAATGAGAATAAAACAAAGGTACATCGATTTTACATTAATATCTATCAACTATTTTTTTATGATCAATAATAGAATTATTTAAGTGATCTTTTCTACGCGTACATGCTATAAATGTACTCAAAACTCAAAACTCATTTTAGATGCAATTTTTTTTTTTTTCACTTTAATGGTACTGCTAGGCTTAATAGTCTGTCCATCCGTCAATTAATAACCGTAATTATGGTATAAAAAGTGAAGAGGTTTACACGATTCGTAGATAAGCAAGTTGTCGGGCGCGGTGTTGTTCAAAAGAAAAATGCTTTCGATATTGGAATGCAAAGGAAAGGAATCGAAAGGAAATTTATATCGTAGGAAATCGGAAAAAGGTAGAATGAAGAGAAATTTTTTATTTAACGAGTTTTCATCTTATATCTAAAGACAAAAATTCGCCTCTACTTTTATATTACAACCCATGTTGTTCAATTGAAATATTTATTTAACAATTTTTCTTTTCTGCAATAATATTTAATTATTTTATATGTATGTGTATCAGTGATAATCTCCATCCTTTCAACAGCACGTTAGGGATGATTATCTCGGTTTTATTTACAAAATTTCAGTTCAGAATTTCATTTCTGTTTGAATAAAAAGATCTTTTTAATGTTTTGAAAAGAATAACCATCCAGTGTATGCACCATAAAAATGGCCAGTCGGTAGTAAAGAAGAGAAAAAATGCGAATATATTCAATTAAAGAGAGAGAATATTAAGCAGGGACTGAAAAAACCTCTTTTCACACACATCATTACTTACAAGTTTATCAATAATGTTAACTAACAGATTTTTGGGACTACAAACTCAAAAAATTTATGCTTTGAGAAATGATAAAAACGGTACAGTACAGCATTACCCTTTAAGCCAATTTTTAATCAGAATCTCTTGCTAGTTTCTTTCTTCTACTGCTTACTGGCTGATATATAGTATAATACTTATTTTGATCTTAAAATTCCAATAGTTTTACACACATCGCTTCAATCTATACTCATATTTATATACTTATTTATAATATATCATATATGGTATCATATATGATACTAATTCATATAATGCAAATTACGTTTTTTTTAAATTTCGCTAAGTAATAGTAGATTTTTAAAAGTGAAAATTTTAAAGCCCAAAAACTCGAGACCTAAAGCTTCAGAAAGGTCTAGAATAATAATATTTTTTCTGCATTGACCGATTTAATTGATCTTCGTAAAAGCTGGGAAAAGTTTTCAGGTCAACAAACGAGTCCCTTACGCGCTTTGCCTAAGTATATATTTATCTTACCTCGCAGCATTTGCGCGCACATTGTAGACATTCGGCAAACCTTGCACACACCCTGTAATGTGGGTATAGCCATATAAATGTTAATCCTTTGATATATAATCAAGTTTCAGTTTAGTAATATTTCAAAAATTATAAAACTTTACTACAAACTAGAATTTAAGCGTTAGAAATATAAACAAAAAAAAACAAAAAATTCACTATGCATGATGTTAATGCATTAAGGCGCACGCATCAGTTTCACGCGCCTATGTATAAATTTACTCATAAAATAATTTTTTTGATAAATAGCAATAATATTTTACATAAATTACATAACATTAAATTTTTATTAACGAAAATATGACGGTAATCATAAGTTTGCATACGTTAATGGTAAGCGATTACGTTAAGAGTGTAAAAAAAAAAAAAAAAAGTTTTCTTTGAAAAACTAAATGCCATTAATTTATAGAGACAAATGCTGAAGTAATCAGCGTGTGAATATTTCGTTACTTTCGTTGACTATACAATTATTGGAATCGTTCTTCGATAGTGAAGGAATAGGACATCGACTACTCAAACACAACTTTTATATTCTAAAGGATCAAAAAAACGAAAGTCAAGCATTTTCTCAAGCATTGGAAAGAAAGTGAGATAGAGACTGCAGATGGATTTGCGCCACGCCGCCAAGTTATGTTAGATTTGTCAAAAGACCCTGAAGAGCTGTTATCCCTGAAGTCTAAGTCTGTCTAATGTATGTTCACACCTAAGGCAAGTTGAAAAGCAAAATATGCATCCAAAAATTTTTCTATTTCGGCAGTGACAAACAGAATAGCAAGTAAACGGATGTTATAGCTCTATTTAAAATCTCAACTAAAAAAATTATATAAATACGTAGTCACTAGAACATTAAGAGAAAAAGTAGACATTAATGCTATGCAGGAACAACTATTCCGCTTAGCATGGACAAGCTTACATAACATATGCATGGGCTTGGCGTGAGTATAATGGTAAGTCATGGGAACAATCTTCATCTGAGCATAATTGGGAAAACGTTCAGGACGTCATCATGCAATCCATGTAATTAAGCTCCCAAAAGATGTTGACCTAGAAAGCTTAACACTTGAGATTCATTCCAAAACACTTCAAAACATTTTTTTCTTTCTAATATTGATTAATAACTTTAATGTTACGTAACACAGGACGTGGGTTTACTGCAACAACAACTTATTGAAAAAATCAAATATGTCTTGAACTAGAAAAGTGCAAATAATGCAAAATGAATGAATGAATGAATGAATGAATGAAAAAACCGCTAACAAAGGCAAAGCAAAAACAAGCCGAATAAACTTTTTTTTGTTTTTTTTTTTTTTGCAATTTCATCATATTGCTGATAATGATAATCATCTCACATTACAATAAACCGCAAGTCTGCTCGGTGCTTGATAAGTGTGGCAAAATATAATACTAACTAAATTAACATTTAATTGACTTTTTTTTTTGCTTTGCGGTGCATTTGAAAAAAAAATATGTAATAATTTTTTTCTTTTTTTAAAAATCTTAATGTCTTCAACCTTTAGCTACTTATGATACACATAAGTGGTTAAATTATGCAATCTTGTACACGTATAGAATTACCAACAAAATTGAGAGAGAAAACAAAAAAAAAGAACGTAAAACTTCTTATATACGATAGGATTTCTTTTTAATTACTTTAAGACTAAAAGATACCTAACCTCACTATTTTTTCGATCATTTCCAATCATATCTATCAATGTACAAAAATCACCGATTTATCATAGGATATTTTTAATATACCTTTGATATATTCTCCTTGCAAATTCACATTTTCCTTAGGATTGCTTCAGCGTTTTTTTGTTTTCAAATTAATTACTTATGTAAAGATTTGCATTATTTTTTCCTTTCATCCTTTCTGCCCTTAGTACTTATTTCCCATATCTATCCACAACTATTTACGTTTTTGTCATTTTTCATTGAAATATGCTTTGGTTCAGGCAAGCGACATAGTACTCTGTCGATTGAAATAAATAATAATCATAAGAAAGCAAAATATTGTCAGTAGGCAAAGGTAAAACCTTTCAACCTCTTAATTGCACGCATTCCTTCTATTGGTTGAACAGCATGGAGCCCAATATTTTCGTGCCGAGAAATCATTTCATTATATTTTTTTTGCAGATGCTAGTCGGTTTTCCTCCCAACCCAATGTTAAATTCCTTTAATTGCGTTTTACTTTATCGTCTATGAATTCTTTGAATCGGTTCAAGGAGCTATGCACTACATTTTGCTTATTCTCTGACGGCAATCGCTTGAAAGTATATATAACTGTTGATATTCTTAAGCAGGACATATCATGCATAGTGGGCGGGCACTTTTCACCTAAGATTGCCGTTACTCTACGCCATGTAAACAATCATTCTTTAAGCTCTTTGAAGTAGCAAGTAATGGAAAAATTTATTCGATGTCTCTTGTGTTGTCTTTAATTCCCGACAAGCAATATGTTTTTGAATCGTTTCTATGCCCATTAAAATAGCGAAAGGATTTTATTTGGAATTTTTGTCGTAAAGATTCTTTACATTTTTATACGAATTTATTGTGACTGCTCGTACGTAGCGTAAGCCTAATACAAAGGCCAAAAACTCATTGTTGAAAAATATGCGATTAAACGATACGTAAGAATTCTACATATTTCTGCGTACAAATAACGCGGTCACGAAGCAAACAATTTATATTTTCGGGGAAACGTTTGAGAGAAAAAACTTGGTAGCGTAGATATGTCCAAATCGGGTTCGTAAGATATTCGAAAATCGCGGTGGAAAATTTGATCTCGAGAATAAAAATTTTGTAAAGAAACCCTTCGTCGTGCAGTCTTTTCTCCTTGTAGTTACATCAGCTTCACTTCACTAAACGATTTTCGAGACCGTTAAAAAGGATAGCAATTCAAATCAATTTTATTACTTTTTTTTTAAATAAATTTTTGAAAAAAGTCCGGCTCATTAGTCTTTCCGAAAAGTTCTACTGCTTTTGTTCCAGACATTTATGCTTTGTTTTCGTACGTACGATGCCGTATATGAATAAATCTTTTCATTACTCATAAAGCGAGGCGATATTATTCCTTAAAAAGCAGCTATGATAAGAAATAAAGCTGCGCAGTATGTTTGAAATTGTCGCGTGACTGACTGAAGTCACTTCTATAGGGGATTCTAGGTGGCAAAGTAAATGGTCGAGTCTAAGTAAAACTTGTTTTGCATGATACGGCAAAAATGAACGCAAATCCAAAATTATTAAGAAAATTTGAAAAAATTCAGAGTTACTAGTTATGCAAGCAGTTGCTTCAAATTGGCCGCAAATATCTACTAAGAGCATTGCATGAAAGTATAAACATTTACTGATTGCTTTGCGAAATGTTTATCAAAAGCTAGGCTTAACAAGTATATCAAGTCGAACTTTTAATTTGCCTTTTAATCTTTATTTTGAAAATTTTTATTTTATAAATGAATATTAAAAGATTTATAAATCTCATTAACATTTTTCAATAATATTTTTTTTTGGTCATGGATATTCCTATAAAAATTGTGTCTATGGCGTCGAAAGTCCAAGTCAATGTATTAAGAATTATTATTTTTAATGGGCGTGTCAGTCATTCTCGCATTTTTAAATCTCCTTAAGGATAGCAAGTTAATGTTTTTTGTATATAACAGAGATTTTTTGAAGGGCTTACGAGCTATTTCCTACAGAGACTATGGTTAGAAAATACTTAACATTACATAGGAAAAATTTTATCAATATCTGTATATACAAATATAAAGAATAGTAGCTTGATATTCCCAGCAGTTGTAGACGTCTTGCGCTCTTTTTACACTTGATCTATGACTGTCAAGCAGTAGCTTATATACTAATTTTCAATTTTCTCTTCAAATTTCAGGATCTCAATAACAGATGGCTTAAAAATAGGCCGGCGGGCATATAGGCCAACAGAATGTGGCTAAGTCGAATTGAACTTGAATCAGAGAAACATGCGATATGCAAGTGTTACGGTAAGCAATATACTCTCATCTTTTAATCACAGTCATAAATACAAGTTTGTTTTTAATTTTCGCATTTTTGCGAAATCCATTTTCAAATTTTGCGTCGAAATTTTTCAAGCTTTAACCTTATCCTAGACGTAGAATCAATCAATTGATTTAGAAGTTAGCTCCTAAAAGAAAATTAGTACATCTCCTCAGTTCAATAGGGAAATTTTACTTTTTTTATACTTTCAAGGAATCCAATTTTCCGGTTTCTTTAAGAAAAAGAACAAAATACTGGATCATCCGAAAGGCGAGTTATATTTTACAAATAGTTAAAGTCAGTCTCTCCTCTCCAAATATTCCAATTTAGCCAATAACTTTGTCAGGCACTCTTGACAAATTTGTCTTCATTTCAAGAAAAGGACTAAAAATTTTGTGAAAAGTCATGGATGACGTCAAAATGATAGCCCCGAACAAGTCAGTAGAATAACAATGGCATGCAGCATTGTTCATCGATAATCTAAGTGTTCGTGACCACCTAAAAAATCAGAGATTATTAAGCCTTTACTGCGACCTTTGCAAGAGCCCCGCCTACGTTCCCCTCTAACGTAAATTGATATATATGCAGTGCGTAGTCATAATGAAAACAATATATATTTAAGGGAAACAAGTAAGAAAATTTTACTCCGTCGTGAACGAATCTTTTATACCCATCAACGTTGTTCTGAAAACGAAAAAAAAAACTAAAAGAACGAAATTTTCGTACTCTATAGTATGAGTGGGCCCGGCTGGTTTTTCCCATTTTTGAAATAAAAGTTTTTGCCGTATAAGGATGTGGACATTGTAGGCGTGTCATTGGAAAAATTTAGGCCACTTTCAAATTTTTTTTGATAATTTGTAGGCGATCTCTTCATTTTCGCTAATGGGAACCCGTTTGTCACAAATATGACATAGCTGTCTGAAAAGGCAGATGGACAGACGGACATGTTTAGGTGCATTCCAAATTTGAAACTGGCCGAGAATTTATATACTTTATGGAGTGTCTGAAGTTCGTTTCTGCGCGTTATAAAAGTATTAGCATTGGTAGGCGTAATCAATTTTTTCAATTTCTCTACAAGTACCATAGCATCGCCTATAGAACATGCGTTAAAATTTTTACACATTTAGCTGCTATAGTTTAAGAGGAATGAGCGAAAAACTAATTTCTTATTCGTATTGAAAAACAAAAGTGGTCTCAGTTTACGTGGCGCTGTGGGCATGTCCTTTGACCGATTTGACTCCTTCTCAATATTAAACTGGTTGCAAGAACTTCCAATGTTGCTTCATTTTTGTGGCCAGAAGCATATATACAGCAGACATTACATAGAGGGACAGACGGACATGCTTAAATCCATTTAGAATTTGATACTGGTCAAGAATTTGTGGAGAGGGGGGGAGGGGTCTCCCGGATGTTTCCTTCTGGGCGATACAAACGTTTTGACAAAATTAATATATACCTCATCCTTGAGTGATCGGTATAAAATTCCTAAAATTCTAACTTCACTTATTATTTATTGATTTCGTTAGTGCATCACTTACCACAAAAATATACGCAATTAGATAATTTAATTGCAATCATGATGACAGTAATTCACGAAAGTAATCCCAGTTGCTTTAGCGTTATCCAATGTTTTATGAAAGGGTAATCCAATCAATATAAATATAATCCAAGTTATGAAAATGTTAACTGAAAGAGAATAACACACATAGTTAAAGCACACTTTCTTGGAGCAGCTAGCTACGCACAATACAAAATAATTTTTTCCTTTTTTTTTTTTTTTTTTCCTTAACAACGAAAATATTCTCTTTTCTTGTTTTTTATTTGTTTATTTGCTCTTCCTCTTCTTCTTACATGCGTTTTGTTTTATTTATGTTCAATAAGATTTTTGCTTCAATCACATAATATTGCAACAAAAAAAAATAAATAAAAAAAAAAAAACAAATTCTCAAGTATTACTTATGCACTCGTGTGGAAATTCAACCAAAAAAAAAAATGTTTTTTTTGTTTTTTTCTTAAATGGAAATTATTGCGTATACATGTGTAGCGTAAATACATAGAGCATAGAGCAACAGAGCACTAAAAGACACAACCACCACAAAGGAAAAAAGTAATAAAGTTAAAATGGAAAATCTGCTTAGAATGTTCAGCGATACGCTTTGGCTTAGCGCTAAGCAAGTTTTCTTCTTTTTTTTTTTTTTTTTTTTTTAGTTAGAAGTTAGACCACAAAAACATAAGAAAAATTAAACCGTAAAACTCTTTACCCGCGTTGCAGACGCACAACGATGCGCGATACACAACTTGTTGGTTAACGTTGTCGAAGCGAAATGAACTTTTGAAAGCGAAAGGAAAACCACTAAAGCCCATCATCTTCATCATTATTATTATGGAGAAGACATCATCATCATCATCATCATTATCATCATTATCATCATTATCATCATTATAATCATCATCATCGCCATCATCGTCATGATTAATACAAATACTAAGAAGTATAGCAGCAGCATAACTTATAACAAGTATATATAAAATTACAAATGTGTGTGTGTTCGCTGCATACATGCACAGCATGCACAACATGCATAACATGTCTTCGGGGAGGCAAAGGCAGTCGCATCATCGCCCATAGTCGTCTTCCATATTATATGAGGTTATATGTATTTAGCAAAGACGATTTGTCGTAAAATAATACAATCACATGTACGCGCCGCACTAGCATAAATTTATATGAACAAGGTGTTGCTGCTGCTCTACTGCGAGTATTTTCCATTTGCATACGACATAAGATCTCGAAACGTCTGCTTATTTCCATATTTTATTACTCTTTGTTACGAATACTTATGTAGTTGGCTTGAATGCATGAATGTTACTTACAAACTTTAGATGTTCGTTCTTACACTGAGAAAATGTATTTCTATTACAAAGAATTATAAACGAAATTTTTTAATTTTTTCAACAATGCATATAAAGAAAGCTTACACGATACATTCATCTCAATTTCACTTATTCTTATTTATTACTTCTAACTTTCGCAATGCTAACTTAAGGCATCTGCACATAATACTCTGCTAAACATTAGAATGTGAAGATTTTTCATTTCTTTTCACTTCTTTCCTTCAAATGAATTTCATTTTAGTTATGAAAGATCTCCACTTACTTCCAGAAACATTGTTTCGAATTCCCTTAAAGAAAAGCTTAAAGGGCAACTTAACGTAATGAGACTCTTCTTCCTTGTTTGCATCTTTTGAGGTTATGTTGTCACCTCTATTTTAGTTGCTTCTGATGTTTTATTCTTAAAAAATAATAAAAAAAGAAATATTATAGAAATTGTAAAAGATAGTTGGTAAAATCATTTGTGAAACTTAAAGCCAAGTAACCATCACACTTACAGTAATACATCTGGATCTTTAATTATATCAAAGAAGAAAATCGTTTCTCAAAGAAAAGCGGACCACACTTTGCATTATGCAAATAAGCAAAACTGACTGACCCTTTGGAGTGCGGCTCATACAAGTGTCGCCACGTGGCTTTAGTCTTCCTCGCAACGAGTGAACTCGTAATGATAAGCTTTTCGTGTTTTGGAAAACCTGAGAAAAGTTGAACGTTGGATATGGGTTCCACAAGAAAGCTTAGTGTGTCCTCAGAATACTTGGTCTTGTGGAAGAGGAAGAAAGAAGCAAAGAAACGAAAATATCTTTTACAATATATTAATCCCGTTAAGAAGATCTAGACAAGCGTTTCAGAGAAATAAAAAAACCCCATTAAAAATATCTTGAAAAAATATACGTTTTTTTCATCGCGTATACGCCCTGAACAATAGGTGTTCCACTAGGAACACTCTGTGATTTTTACAGAGCCGAAACTGTGAGGGGGCTAACGCATCATAACCCCCATATGCCCTTGGCGTTGCGGAGTTTGATTTTCAATTTCAGAAAACTGAATCGAATGCTCTTGAATCGGTTAAGCGGATCCAGTCATGATTCGCTTATACAAAAGCCCAGAATACTTAAGATATAGAAGTTTTAACAGATTTTCATTATAATCCAAGCAAGAGACAACGATCAGAAGTAAAGACAATAAAAACTCTATAACGGATTCCAGTTTAATCAGCCCGCAAACAAGAAGGCATTTATTCAGAAGTTCTTTGAAACGATATGACAGTCCAAAACACGGAAAACTACTTCTTATAATATTGAGCAGATTATACATATATATATATATATATCTAGAGGATATGTAAAAATATCATAAGGACAAAAATGTCACAATAATTTTTCTTTTTTTTTTTACTCTCTTTTTATGCAATCACGTTGCACTGTATACTCAATATATATTTGCGATTATCCGAAGATGAGCCCAACAACAATATAGAAAAAGGCCACACAAACATTTGATAATAACCAGTCAAGTACGATTGACTGAATATATAAATCTCACCCACAAATAGCACACAAACGAGAGATCGAGCATAATCGAGAGTCGTTTACAATAATAGTTAGCAGCAAGTTTTCTTAAGAATTGTGTTGTGTGCTCGCTCCCTAAAGCACTAAAGTAAAGTGTGAACAGAGTGAGGAGAGAAATTGAGAAGTATTTGCCAAAATTACATCATCATCTGTTTTAATAACACCAACACCATTATAACAAACAACAACAACCATAACAAAAGTATATAAAAAAAAAAAAAAAAAAACAGGGCTGGTTATGCCATAACAATGCCGATTATGTTTTATTTTTGGTTAAGAGCTTGTTTTTCTTGGTTGGCCTGCCTGTTTCTGTCTGTCTGTCTGTCTATCTGTCTGTCTGTCCGTCCGTCTGTCTGTCTGTCTGTTTGTCTCCTTGCAAGTTATGCTGCTGCTGTCCGTGCTGTAGTTTATGTATATGTGGTTTAGACAAATAGATAAGAAACGTGAAATAGCGACACATTTTAACCGCATAATGCAGAGACTACACCACACCGTCATACGCTAACTAAACTAAGTAAACTAAGCAACCAAATACAGCAACCAAGAGACAAGCAAGCAAGCAAACAAACAAGCATCCTAGAGGCCGTAGAAAATGTCTTAAGTGTGCACAAGTATTATAGCGCATACTATTTGCCCAGCAGCTAGCTCAACTATACGGCATAACATGAAAACAACAAGTGATCTCAACAAATGTATTCGTGCTTTATGAGAAACGAATGAACAAAAGTTTTGGGTCAAATAACAAAAAAGAAGAAAACAAAAAAAAAGAAAAAAAGTACACTTTTGTCTGCCGGCACCACGATGCGTTGAGGCATCTTCAAAATTTTTCAAAAAGCTATTTATTTACTTTTACAACATCGTCATACGTATGCCTGCATTACGGTATGGTGCATAGTGCATTATGCATTTCTCATGAAAATTACTCTGCACATCTCGAATGTGAATACACATAAGACAGACAGACAGAGTATGTCACTTGTGTGAAAAGCCGCCACAATATTGCTAAGCTGAAGTTAGCTACTAAGATCAAAGTAGGTGAGTGTGTTTTTATGTCTCTTAACTTCCAGCTTGCTAGCTATACGGATTTCTAGCGCACATATAATACTTATGATGATATGAACCTATGTCGCTGGGAATGTTAGCTATTTTGAATAAACATATACACACACATACACACACACACACACAATACTTACCTATTTTATTGCCAGTGTGGGAATTCGTACACACCCGCATTTGTCGTCATCTATCTGTGACTACCTCATGGCAAATTTGTTGTTTGCTTAACTTTGTATAGAGGCTCGAAGTACGTCTAGTGAGACTTCAATTTTTTTTTTTCCTTCTTTTTTTTTCCTATATAAATGGCTGAGAAGTGTTGGAAAATCATTGAGAATGTTGTTTATTTAAAAACAGCGAACGGCAATATTTTTTTTTTTTTTTCGTAGTGTTAATGTGTTTGAGGATTTTACAGCAATAACAACAACAGCAAAGCAAGCGACAGCAGCAACAGCAGCAGCGACAGCGATGACTACGTAAATACCAGAAATAGTCATTAATGTTATGTCAAGCTGCCTGCCTGCCTGCCTGCCAGCCTGCCTTAGTCAGCACCATAAACCACATTGCGTTGGTGCATTTCCGAGTTATTGTTAAATAGAAGATTGTCTAAAAAATGTTAAGCCTGCGAATAAAACGAACTAACTTCACTTAGTATGACATTTCAATGCGTAAAAGTAAACATCAAATAAATCAATAAATTATCTTCGTTTCGATCCTGTGGAGGCTTAATACTTTTTCGATTATTTAATATCCGTTGAAATGACGAAACAAAACGCTAAACGTATTTAAATGAAAATATTACATTTGAAAAAGTTTCTTGCATAAATACATGAAAAGCGTTCCCCTTTAAAATATGCGAAAAAAAAATTTTACTGATTTACTTACTGTAATGAGCTTCTCTAGCAATAACGCTACCAAATATTTGTTAAACTACAAGGCTATGATTTATTTTAATTGTTCAAACACCAACCAATTGAACAATCCTCCATATCAAACGAAGATTTGTAATGACATTTTCAATCATGAAACTATCTTGCCTTTGCACAAAAAGGATTGCCAATCGTTCGCTGATAAATATCTTAAGTACATTTTGTATTTTATTATTATCTAAAAGTTGAAGAAGTTCAAACAAATGCACAAGCACATGACATTACCTAACACGGGTTACCCGCTTCAATTCACATTGATGTCACACTTAGAACTGAAAGGGTACTTACTTGCTGGGTGTGTGCAAACAATCATAAACTCAAAGAATCACTGAGTAACACGTAACGTAGTTAGTAAAAATAGTAGTAAAAATTTTTTCATTTTTGACTTTTATATGACGTTTCCTTAGATACATAGTTTATCTTAAAGATTTATAGACAAAAATACATAAGAGCAAAACGGAAAGAATTTTATTATTATTATTATTATTATTATTATAAATTTAGACAGAGAATAAATTCTAAGACTAAAAAGTCTTAGAGCACTAGCATCTAAGGCTTTCGGCTTTATTAAAAACTCTACCGCACTTGAGATTTGAACCCACGACCATTGAGTTGCTAGTCGAGACTCTTGCCTACTCGGCCACTCAGGCGGATGGAAAGAATTTTAATCTTAGAATTCCAATGAGTTTGACGATCTATACGGAGACGAAAAAATTGAGTTCTATCAGAGCACGGCGTACGGTATATGGGATGTTCTGGTGGATGCAAACGTCTTGATAAAATTTATATATCTCCTTATCCTTGGGTGTGGGATATAAAAACGGAAAGGCTTTCCGCTCCAACTTAGTATATGTAACTTTGTTGGCGCTTTTGTAAAGAGC